AACATTATTTACATAAAAAATAACAAAAAGGTTTAAAAAAAATGGAAAAATCATTACTACAAAAGTAGCTTGAAACTTCAGTGAGTCATTATTTTGATGTAAAGAATAACTAAATTTTTAAAAAATCTGGAATCTTGTTTTTATTATACAAATATGAAATTTTATATGTAGGATCTTAATTTGTTAAAAAAAAAATCCTAAAAATATAATTGGCACATTTAAAAAACAATGTAATATTTGTCATTACAAACTTTATCTTTTAAATTGTTACACAAATTTTTCTTAATTACCATAATTGTGGGAATTTCTCTTATCATAATAATAAATATGAATGCTTTGGTTGTTTTGGCTAAATTTTTAAAATAGTTATGTTATTTTTAATAAATTAATTAAGAAAAATGTGTTTTTATTTTTTTAGTAGAAAAATAATATGTGATCAACAATATATAAAGGAGGACACAAAAAACATTAAAACCTTTTTTTTATTACATTTTAATTACATATTATGTCAGAAGGAGATCTAAATTTAAGGATAAAACTACTTTATTGGACCCAAGTTCATATTTAAATTTTTACCGCGCTTAGAAACATTAACATTCGTGGTTTAGTGCTAACTAAAAATTGGTACTTCCCCAAAATAGTTGTAGCCAACAGTTTAAAGTTATATTTTACTGGTTAATCGTTTAGTAACAACATTCGTTTATTCGTGTAAAAACATGTATATAGGCTTGAAAAAAATATATATTTTTATACTAAAAACAACCCCATCGCAATTTTCTGGAAATTTTGTCCGTTATAAATTTTACTTAACGCATTTAAATAATGGTAAACTTTTTAGGTTTTATTGTTTTTTTATTACATTTGCCAATAAAAATACATTTTTCAAAACTTTTTCAAAAGGTATTTAAAAAATTATATTAATAAATATTCAATGTTATGCTTATTAGTTGTGCTTAAAATATTTTACATTTCTTTATATACATTGTAAAAACCCGTAGATTCCATATTTTTTAGTTGATAAGGAAAGACCTATTTATATACCGTTTCGAAAAAAAAAATAATTGTGGAATTAAAATAATAAAAAATAATAAAATAAAGAAAAAATATTGTTAGAAATAAAATAAAATCCACTAACAAAACGCCCATTATCGTACATGGTACATGACACTAAGTGATGACAGGTTGTGGCTTTATGGCGTTTTAGTCACGGGCTGAAGTTAGCAACAGGTTTTTAGTCACCTGCTAAAGTTAGTTGACAGTTGTCATACAATCGTTAAAATAAAGGGCCCTTCTTGTGAAATAATAATGTGGACATTATTTTAGTATCTTAATTCAAAAATTAAAAGTATAAAATAGTTTATCTATTTTGCGTTCATAATGACTTAATTATAACACCGCTTTCGGTGCTGTAATGAGATACTTTATCCCACCCAAAATTTTAATTTTATAGGTTGGCTGTACTATAAACAGTATAATATTTTGCATATGATATTCTAGTACTTACGAGACTTTTCTTGCAATTAATTTTGTTTAACACCAAAGAAAACCTTTTTTTCTTCTTTAACATTAACAGCCGCTTATTGTAAATAAATAAATTAAGGACGGCATGGCGAATCGATTTTGACATTAACTGTCAAACCAATGACTGTGATACCAACTTTCTAAAGTAAAATTCGATCAAATTAAATTTAAGGCATAAAATTATTTTTTTTATAGAATTTTTGCAAAATAGATAAAATAGCATAAAGAACTCATGTCATAAGACTTTTTGTCGCACTCGTCCATTGTCCGCGTGCGACAAAATAACGTCTTATGACATTAGTTCTTTAATATACACTGAAAAAAATAAGCTGTTGAAACAACAAAAAAAATATTAATTCAACTCTTTATGCACTTTAAATACAAGCAATGGTTTTTGCACGTTTACTTAACCATCTAAAAATGTCAAATTGTATTGTTTAATTGAACAACAAATAACAGTCAAATGAACAAAATAAGAATATTTGTTCTAATCTGCTAATTTGGTTAATTTAACATTCTTTGGGTGTTAAGGTAAATTTCTTGAAATGTACAAGTAACCTTTTTAGCATATTCACTTAACACCAATAAAATGTTAAATTAACATTCTGAAAATGTAAAATTCTTTAAAGGTTGGTGTCCAAAACAAAATTATGGAAATAATATATTATTATATATAAATAGAAATAATTGAAGCTTCACCTCGCCCAGAGTTTTTGTTTTGAGCGTGTTTCACCCATGATACATCTTTGTATCATGTGTTCCACCTACTTCAAATACCGACAGACTGTTTCGCCCTGTACACAGAAAAAAATATCGTACCTGATATTAATGTCCTACGATCATTAAGTGCAAAATCATTACGATAATGTCCTTTTCATAGTATTAATGCAATCAAGTAATTATGATAATGCTTAAAAAATATGAGTTAATGTATTATTGGATTGTCACAATGTCTGCCTGGTCATTATCCTAGTGCAAGAATTTAATTATTTTTTAGCCAAAATACATTAAGACAATGATATTTTACATTAATACGATGATTATTTACATTAAATCAATAACCTAGAGTACATTACTTAATCATTGCTCAGTGATAAAATTAATGTCAAGACTTAATAGATTAATACTCTAAATGATATAATTTAATAATCTAAAATTATTACATTAATGCCTATATAGACATCAACTTATGTACCCTTAGCATGAATATAATGCCCTAACATATTAAACAATACAACAAATCATAACTTTATCGCCAAATACGTTGAGCCAATGTCTAAATACATTAATATTATTCCCTGTTGTTTCCCACCACCTAAAAATGCAAGTATACTTATAAGAAAACAATTTAACAACAGTTTAATATACCTGTTAATCCTGTTGCGACGTGCTTGCCCGCCCATCCCGATTGTTGTGCGTTTATGTTTATTATTATATGAAATATAAAAAGTGCAGTCCTGTGAACATTCAAGTAAACGAATTATAATTATTATTTTACTTTAAAAAGCTAATGTCAAAAAGGTATCGTTTTAACCTTCATTTCCCAGAAGAATGTGTCATGGTCTGGTCATTTATTGAAACCTACTTTTTTAAAATGAAGCATTCTAATATATTTTCCAAAATCCATGTATTATGTGACTTTTTAGAATGTAAGTAAGACAATGTTAAAAAGTTAAGTTTTATTTATGTTTCATAAATTTTTTGTAATAAATATAAGGATTTTAAATTACCAAGGGTTTTTATTATTTTTTTATATTAATCTTTAGTTTCATAATATTTACAAAAAGGACTAAAAATATGTAAAGTTACAGTTCCAGTTTTGCGGTGGCCCGGACATAAACCCTGTAGAAAATGTTTGGGAACTTCTGTAAAGGGAACTGGCTAAAGAGAACATCACCACATAAGTAATATTAATAGTAATAATTATTAATATATTTTTTTACATATTTCTAGCTCTTTTTGTTAACTGATCAACAAAAAAATTGATTTAATGTTAAAACTTAAGGTAAGTGTAATAATTTATATATATATATATATACATATATACAGGGTATCTTAAAAGTTAAGGACAGCAGAAAAGGGGTGGATAGAGGATGGGATTCTAAGTCGAATGGTCTTTGCCGTTTTTCAATCGATTTAAAATTCCATCCTCTATCCACCTCTTTTCTGCTGTCCTTGACTTTTGAGACACCCTGTATATATATATATATATATATATCGATCCATTCCGGTATACCGATATCGATATATCGATTTATCGATATTTTTCCATCCCTTATTTCGAGCCTCTTTGCATTATGATAATCATTAATTAATGTATATTAGGTGATTGGGATAATGTTCTTTAATTGTTAATTGATTAAAAATTTATTAATTGGTTGATGTTTACTGGGCATAGAATTAATGTACTAGGACATTAATCAATGTCAATGGTCATTAATATCAGTACTTTTATTTAAAATCTTCCTGATTAAAATCAATGTCCGCCAAGCATTAATATTACGTCCTTGTACATTGAGTAATACTTTAAAAGCATTGTGGTAATGATTTTGAGCATCGGAGCAAAATTAATGTAAAAAATCATTGCGTTAATGTTTTTTTTTATTAATATTACGTACGTTTTTCGTTGTGTGTATTGAGGGTCTTAACAGTGTCGGGCAATATGGTGTAGTGAAAGTTCTACTGTGAAACACACCTTAAACAAACAGATATCTGATCTTGTATACACCTAATCGTAAGCCAACTAAGGCGAGATGTAAGAAAACGTCTTTGTCTAATGACGTGGCGTGAGTGTTCGAAGCGCCATTCTCGGCAATTTTATGAATGCAAATTTTACTTTTTAAATTTTAAAGTACCTACTTAACATTTTAAATTTGTTAAATGAACAAATTTAAAGTTTTGGATTAAAGAGCAACTAAACGTTAATTTAATAGTTTTTTTAGGTAATCCTAAAAATTTCAGTAGTTGATTCAACAAATTCCAGCTATTAAATCAAAGTACGATAAACATTTTAATTCAAAATATTAGTTTATGTTAAATTAATATTTAAACTGTCAAATGAACAAATAAACTTTGACAAACTCTGAGTTTTGCTTTAACAACAAAATATAGATTAATCCAATAGGTTTTTTGTTGAAACAACATTTTTAAAAATGACATTTAGGCAAATGTTAACTCAACTACATTATTTTTTTCGGTGTACTATTCTCAACGCCAATACCTATTTGTAAAGTTTATGAAAGTTTGTACTGACCTTGAAAGCATAACCTTTACTCCACCATTAAGTGCCCATAAAACATTCTCGTCACTTTTACTGTAAAAAACTGCTTGTATATCATAATTTAAACGGTTCTAATGATAAATTAATAATCGTAAAAAACGTATATAAACTTTTCTAGACACTCATTTAATTAAGTACTCGCTTGCAAACTCTATTATCTCAAAATATATTTTAATTGTTTTTTTTTATTTGCTTTCAGGCTTTGGCAGCATTTTGTGCACATTCAGTCTCAATATCAATAGGAATTACACAAGGTTATAGTGCTATTCTTTTACCTCAGTTAGAAGAGGATCCAGATTTTATGATTATTAAGGATTCCGAGGAAGAGTCATGGATAGGTGAGAACGCTTTTCCCACTTTTTTAGGATTTGTTCTAACTTTGTTTAAAGTGGTTGGGGCTCAGGTTAAAAATTAATTTAAAAATCTAAAAATTTGAAGCTACATTTAGAAGAGTAAAAAAGTAAGAAAATACCTCGTTTGAAAAAAATTCTTTTTCTTCTTTTCTTTTTCTCACTTTTTTAGTATTTGAGTAAAAAAGTAAGAAAATACCTCGTTTGAAAAAAATTCTTTTTCTTCTTTTCTTTTTCTCACTTTTTTAGTATTTGTTCTATTATTTTTTTAAAAAGTGGTCGGGGCTCGGGTTAAAAATTAATTTATAAATCTGAATTTTTCGGGAGTAAGATCCGAATAGTAAAAAAATAAGAAAAAAACTCGTTTGAATTTTTTGGGGGTATACCTTCAGAATATTTTTTTTATTATTGACGTTATTAGAACATCTTTAAATAAAATAAATTTTGTTTATATTTTGGAAGGGCATGTTGTCTCCTGGTTTTTCATTTTGGAAAGTTGGTCACCTTATATATGTTTTTATTTATTGTATACACTACAATTATCAAATTTAATTTCCAAGAAAAATATACGTATAATAAATACATAAATACTTTGCAAATTTATTTAATCAAAAATATGACCTTAAATTTCTGTGTATTGGAATAATTATAAGAAAAACAATATAACATATAATAAATGTAATGCATAATTACAACGATAAAAAAGAAATATATGAATAATTAAAAAGGCAATGACATTGCAGACAATACGCGATTTTAATGTACTTCCGATTTTTACAAGAAATTTTTAAATGGATCAAGGTTTATGAAAGTCTACATTAGCTACTTCCGAATATTGAAGGTTAATTCTCCTATATGCGCATATAAATTATATTTTACAATTGCTTGGTATTGATGACTTAATAGCCATTAAATTTTTGCAAATTATTATGGTAATAGATTTAAGGTTTATATAAAAATTATTTTATAGTATTATTAATCAATTTTATTGCACAAAAGTACGCTCAAAGAGTATCAAATTATGTTATTGTCGGTCATTTTTCTTTAAAATAAAATATAGGTAAAGTTCTTTTTTCTGGACTGCGGCAACGTTGCAAATTTAGGGTTTTGGTTGGTAAATACAGTTGTCAAGTTGGTCGCATTGATTAAAACAAACTAAGCTAGTTATAAATCTAATTGTGGTTATGTATAAATTATTGTAGGTTACATCGTGCAGTTGTCAAGTTGAGTTGTCGAAATTCGGAGTTAAAAATGCAATTAATTTGGCTTTGGTGGTGCATGGAGGAGTAAAATCATATAAAAAAAGCAGTTAAATATAGGTTGCTTTACGGCCCAGAAGAGAAAGTATTCCTAGCGGATAATAATCTTCGCTTTGAAAAGAATTTATATAAAAGAAATTAAAATTTTTTGTGAACATTAATTTTGTCCAATGGTGAATAATGTGAAAATAATGTGTGATGTAATATTTATAAAACCAAATTCGTCACTTTTTTACTCCAAAAATGTCCAAAAGGCGATGTACTTTTTCTTCCATTGTGGCATTTGGCATTAATTTCATCAAAATGAAGTTTTGCCCTCAAAAGGGCTTTTACATTCGAATTCGTTGTTATTATTTTTGGCATAATTATCTTTTTATTTATAATTGACAAGTAAATTATCAATACTAAATATTATTGTCAATTTGACAGTGTCAAAGTATTTAATTAAATTCTTTAGCAGAAGTACCATTTTTAAATACCAAAAATACTAAGTCAAACTGGCATAAGCCACCAACCTAACAAAAAAACAGGAGTCCAGATAAAAAAAATGAACTGTATATATGTAGTTAATTTGTAGGTCTATGGGTTTACAAACAAATAATGTTAAATGATTTTTTTTTAAATACTTTTTCTACAATAAACAAACCTCTATTTCGTACATTTTAAGGGCTGTAGTTGACAACCGTCACGGGCTAAAGTTAGTTTTAACTTAGTTGACAATTGTCAAATGTCATACACTCGTTAAAATAAAGTCTTCTTCTTGTAAAATAATACTAAATGTAAAAATTAATTTGTTATCCTGATAAAAAAGTATTAAATAGATTATTGACACCAATATTTGAAAGGATTATATGAACGTTTGTACTGTGGGTTATAAAATAACCTTAAATTAAACTTCAAATTGACATTTGACAGCCCTGATAGAATAAGGTTTATTTTTTACAAAAGAGGAGTAAAATGATTGTTCTTACCACTTTGAGGTCTCTTTTAAGGCTTGCAAGTCTCTGTAAGAAACACAACGTTTAAAACGATTATTAATCTGTACAAACCCAAAGCACAAGAATTGTAAACAACAAAAATGGCCGCCATTGTATGATGTGCAGTGTTGCAGTGATTTTTAGTATTTTTAGTACGAGATCGAACAGACCTTGTTGTGTTGATTGTGGGAAAAACAAAAAAACGATATATAACAAACACAAAAACGGCAATGAAAACTTAAACGATATAAAATAACACAGACAACAAACAAAATAAAAGAAATTATACACGAATTAAACGAAATATTCAAAAACACAACTGACAGCTTTCTTTTTCTATGCGTCATTTTAATAAGCAAAATTTTAATCTAAACATGACAACATTGCAATTGCTGCCAACTAAAGTTGTTTAAAATGCATTAAAATATTCAATTACAGAATTCGTTTTATACATTTAGTGTTGGTACCAATGCGCAAAATTATGACGTCATCGATAAATTTACTATATATCACTTTTTTTTGCAGCCTCTCTGGGTGCAGTCACGAATCCGATTGGTTCAGTTATATCGGGTGTTTTGGCCGAATACTTTGGTAGAAGAAGATCCATCCAAATAAGTATTATACCGTTCCTATTAGGATGGTTGTGTCTTGGATTTGCTACCGACATAAGCTGGCTTTATGCAGGAAGACTTATCACAGGAATAGCTGGAGGTAAATAAATTTACGTTTTACATAACACAGCCCTACAGGCCTAACCTCAAAAACATCACAAAAAATCAACAGTATGAAGTACAAAATTAATATTTTTTAAATTTTTTTCAGGAATGTCCACAGCCTGCTACACATACGTAAGTGAGATATCGACACCGAAAAACAGAGGAATATTTCAAGCACTTGGTCCTATATGCGCCTCATTTGGAATCCTGTTTGCCTATGTGTTAGGTTACTTAGTTCACTGGAAGTTGGTGTCCTTCATCAGCATAGTCTTTGGACTTTTCTCGCTGATAAGCATCCAGTTCCTTCCGGAAAGCCCTGGATACCTGATGAGAAAAAACAAAAGCACTGAGAGTTTCAACGTGTTCCTTTGGTTGAGAAGAAACAACGCTGAGGCGCAAGCCGAGGTCGATAAATACCAACTAAAAAACAACGATGTTTTGAACACCAAGGTAAACCTCAAGGACATCTATTTCGGCCCTCAAACTGTCAAGCCATTCTTCATCCTGATAACGCTCTTCTTTCTACAAGAACTCTCGGGAATTTACACCATACTTTTTTATGCTGTCAGTTTCTTCGACGAGGCCAACTTGGAAATGGATAAATACATCGCTTCAATCATAGTGGGCGTTATTAGATTCACGGTTTCCATATTAGCTGCCGTTTTGATAAACAAATATGGAAGGAAGATTTTGTGTATATTTTCCAACGTCGGTATGGCCGCTACTATGCTGTTAGTCGCAGGATACATGAAGTACTACGAAGTAAACCAAGGAGAAGAAAAAGTGTTCTCCATTCTTCCTCTAGTTGGTGTCATATTCAACGTGTTCTTCAGCATGATCGGTATGCTTCCCATTCCCTGGATTTTGGTGGGGGAAATGTTTCCCCTGGAAGTAAGACCGATTATGTCGGGAATTGTTATCTGCATAGCGCAAATTTACATCTTCATTTTCGTGAAAATCTACTCGAACATGAACCAAGTTTTAAACTTCAGTGGTACTTTGTTCCTCTTCGCTGGGGCCTCAGTGGTTGCCTTAGTTTTCTGCAAGTTCATCCTTGTCGAAACCAAAAACAAATCGTTAAGTGAGATCGAAAAGTATTTCAAAAAAGACACGGATAGTGGAAACCTAAAAGGATTCGATAACCAAGCTTTCGTTATCAGTCCTGAAATTGACTCAAAAACGAACGACGGTATATTCAGGGTGGAGATAAATAGTTAGTTGCATTTTTAGAATTAGATAGACATATTTTTTAATGTGATCAAATTGTATATATATTTTTATATAAAACACCTATTAGCTTGTAAGTAAATAAAGTAGATTTTAGTGTATTTATTTAGATGTTAGGTTGTGATTGTGATGTAGTGTTAATTGAAAACTGTAAATTTTTTAAAATGATATTTATTTTTATAAAAAATAAATTTTTACAAGACTTGTTTGGTTTATTTCTCTTTTATTTCAACTAAACATGCATTTTCAAAACTACCTACAGTGTGTCCCTGGATTGACAGGAAGTACTACGAAGTAAACTTTTACACAGTAAAAAAAATATTTGTTAATTTTAAACAAATATTAAACAAACATTTTGTAGATTTAAAACAAAATCCTGTCAATAATTCAACCATAATTTTTGTAATTTTCAAAAAGGACCTTATTTTTACAAACCTTTTTGTAGACCCAATAATGTTGGAAACTGGGACACATACGTTAGTAAGATATCGACACCGAAAAACAGAGGAATATTTCAAGCACTTGGTCCTATATGCGCCTCATTTGGAATCCTGTTTGCCTATGTGTTGGGTTACCTAGTTCACTTCATCAGCATAGTTTTTGGACTTTTTTCACTGATAAGCATCCAGTTCCTTCCCGAAAGCCCGGGATACCTGATGAGGAAAAACAAAAGCACTGAGAGCTTCAACGTGTACCTTTGGTTGAGAAGAAACAACGCTGAGGCGCAAACCGAAGTCGATAAATACCAACTAAAGAACAACGATGTTTTGAACACCAAGGTAAACCTCAAGGACATCTATTTGGGCCCTCAAACTGTCAAGCCATTCTTCATCCTGATAACGCTCTTCTTCCTACAAGAACTCTCAGGAATTTACACCATACTTTTTTATGCTGTCAGTTTCTTCGACGAGGCCAACTTGGAGATGGATAAATACATCGCTTTAATCATAGTGGGCGTTATTAGATTCACGGTTTCCATATTAGCTGCCGTTTTGATAAACAAATATGGAAGGAAGATTTTGTGTATATTTTCCAACGTCGGTTTTTGCCGCTACTATGCTGTTAGTCGCAGGTTACATGAAGTACTACGAAGTAAACCAAGGGGAAGAAAAAGTCTTCTCCATTCTACCTCTAGTTGGTGTCATATTCAACGTGTTCTTCAGCATGATTGGTATGCTTCCCATTCCCTGGATTTTGGTGGGGGAAATGTTTCCCCTGGAAGTAAGACCGATTATGTCGGGAATTGTTATCTGCATAGCCCAAATTTACATCTTCATTTTCGTGAAAATCTACTCGAACATGAACCAAGTTTTAAACTTCAGTGGTACTTTGTTCCTCTTCGCTGGGGCCTCAGTGGTTGCCTTAGTTTTCTGAAAGTTCATCCTTGTCGAAACCAAAAACAAATCGTTAAGTGAGATCGAAAAGTTTTTCAAAAAAGACACGGATAGTGGAAACCTAAAATGATTCGATAACCAAGCTTTCGTTATCAGTCCTGAATTTGACTCAAAAACGAACGACGGTATATTCAGGGTGGAGATAAATAGTTAGTTGCATTTTGAAAATTAGATAGACATATTTTTTAATGTGATCAAATTGTATATATATTTTTATATAAAACACCTATTAGATTGTAAGTAAATAAAGTAGATTTTAGTGTATTTATTTAGATGTTAGGTTGTGATTGTGATGTAGTGTTAACTGAAAACTGTAAATTTTATAAAATGATATTTATTTTTATAAAAAATAATCTTTTACAAGACTTGTTTGGTTTATTTCTCTTTTATTTCAACTAAACATGCATTTTCAAAACTACATACAGTGTGTTCCTGGATTAACAGGAAGTACTACGAAGTAAACCTCTACACAGTAAAAAAATGTTTGTTAATTTTAGACCCAATAACAATAGTATATTAGTGCTACAAAAGGTCTTATGACATGAGTTCCTTATGCTATTTTATCTATTTCGCAAAAATTCTATAAAAAAAATTAATTTTATACCTTAAATTTAATTTGGTCGAATTTTACTTTAGATAGTTGGTATCACAGTCATTGTTTTGACAGTTAATGTCAAAATTGATTCGTCATGCCGTCCTTAATTTACTTATTTACAATAAGCGGCTGTTAATCTTAAAGAAGAAGAAAAGGAATTTCTTTAGTGTTAAACAAAATTTATTGCCAGAAAACTCTCCTAAGTAATATAAAAATCATAAAAATATTATAACCAATGTGCAAAATATTATGCTGTTTAAAGTATAGCCAACCTATAAAATCAAAATTTTGGGTGGGATAAAGTATCTAATTACAGCACCGAAAGCGGTGCACGCAAAATACATAAAATAAAATTAACAAACTACAAACAAATTAACAAATCAGTGGTACTTTCTGTCTCTTCAATATATGCAAGTTTATTCGTGTCAAAACAAAAAACAAATCTTAAGGCAAGATTAAAAAGTTTTCGCGGGAAATGTTAAAGGATTTAGAGCGATCCTTGTCAGGACAATAACACCACGCACTTGTCGAATAGAAAGAGATCGGGATAACTACTATGCGTTAGAAGGAGACATGCTATTTGTAGTGTGTCGATTATAAGGAAGTGTTTGTTATATTTTGGCCATTGAACTTTGCATTTGTTACGCACTGTTTGCAGGAAATTTTATGCAGGATCTTTTAATTGTTTGCTTTTGCTTGTAGATGGCGCTATAAGTTTGATTTCCTATTGATTCCGTTAAAAGGGGTTTCTTGTAATAAATATAGCGACAGAGTGTCGCGTATTTTGCTTAATGGTAAAGTTTCTTAAGGATAAATGTTATCTATTTATAGATATTTAGATTTTTATAGACCATGGAAATAAAGGTTAGGGGTAAGGTTTTATTGATGGAATAAAAGTGATATTTAAGGATGATTTATTTGATGTGTTTATGAATAATTATTAGTCGGGAAAGGGGAAACATTTGATAAAATTGTATTTTTTTATTTACCGTTTAGTTCAGTATATTTATGTTTTAATATTTCAATTACACTGTTTTAAATATTACATTTATTAACATGTAGTTTTTTAATTTTATTTTGTAAAATTTTAACATAATTTTTTGTAGACAATTTTATAATTATTTTAAGAAAAGTTAGCAAAAGTTTTGTAAAGGTAGTATGCAATTTTGTAAGCATTTTGTTAAGTTTATAGTTTACAGATTATTTTGTTAATGTTTAACAAATTATTTCGTTAAAAAAGTACACGTAATTTCAGGCAGTCAATCAAAACATTTCCCACTGACAATACGCATCAACAAGTTCAACTAACTTCAGCGTCTGCAACTTAGGTTTTTGCCTACTTTACTCTAATTCCTTTTTGAAAATTACAAGAAATATATTATTGACATAGAATTTTTTTATTAAATCTACAAAATGTCTGTTATAATTACAAACTATTTATTTAATTAGTTAACAGATAACAGTTGGTTGTAATCTTAACATAAAGTTAAAATTAACAAATATTTTTTTCCTGTGTAGGGACCATATAGGAAGCAGCTTTTTCGCCATCTTGAATTTAGGGGTAAATTCGCGAATAACCGACGTATTTTTGATTTTGTAGAAAAAACAATCGATACCATTTTTGATAAAAAAATCAGTTCTACAATTTTAAAATTTTGCATATTTAACCAGTATAAGCAAAAAAAGGTTGACATTTATTTTTACTAGCGCTTTCGCGAAAATTGCTATTGAGTTGTTAAACCCAATTAATTACCTACAAATCTTTCAGGCAAGCAGTTCTAGCGACCCTTTTATTTAATTTTTGGTTATTACCCGTTAAATAAGCAAATTCTAGGATACCTATGTGAAAATCGACTTAAGATACTTTAATCTTGAAATTACGCAAAAAAATTAAATAATAATGGTCTTTTTTAAGTCCAATTTAAGTCAAATTATTATACACCGCTGTATAATAATAAAAATACATTGAAATTATATAGAAAGAGTGGTTTAATCTATCGCGTTTAGCTCGAAATCAGCAAAAAATGTATACTAACAGGTCACTGTTGAATAAATTTATGTACATAATATAATATAATAAATGTCAAACGTCAAACCTGACAAAATGTCGCAAACCCGATGTAAGTAATTACAGACGTTTAAAAAATAGTTATTTTTGTATCAAAGCAGTAAAGTCGTATTTTTTATTACGAATGTGGAAATTATTTGCAGAGGCGAAAGCCGAGGCAAATAACCACGTGAGGTGCATATTAAATTTTATCCAAAATCACATTTAATAATACTAATTATTAATATTGATGATCAAATCAAATGTCATTCGATGATCAAATCAAATGTCATTTGAATGTACAGTTCATTTTTTTTTATCTGGACTTTTTTTTGTTAGGTTAGTGGCTTTTGCCAGTTTGACTTAGTATTTTTAGTATTTAAAAATGGTACTTCTGCTAAAGAACTTATTAAATACTTTGACATACCTACTTATAATAAAAGGTAACAGATAACATTTTAAAGTTATAAATAAATTAAATATTTTTTTAAATTCAGTTTTTGGAGATTATGTGCTTCAAAAACCAGATTTTGAAAAAATATACAGGGTGTTCCAAAGAAAACTTGTACCCCCCAAACGTTTTAACGGGTCAATGTGGACAATATTCCTTGGACACGTCAATTTTTATTTCTAGGGGGACGAATTTTAATAAACGATTCACGCCCCCACCCGCACCCCTACGCCCTCCACCCTGCCTCTCGCCAAAATCATAAATTGTTGAGTGACATATCTTATTAAAGGTCTTAATAAGATTTTGTTTAAAAAATATGTCAGTTAGTTTTCGAGAAAATGCTATTTGAATTTTCAATTTTAGAAAAAAACAAAAAAATTGTAAATCAACAAATGTGTGGGTTTCATGGAGCAAATGTGGATTACTATCGCTATAAATACTTTACTTACTTTACTTATTAATAATAATAAAAAAGTTTCATTTCCTAGTTGTATACCCGCGGCTTTGCTCGCCAGAAAAACTGTTATTTTAACAGCTGTCATTTCGGCACCTGTCATTTTAACAGATGTCATTTTGACACCTGTATATAGTATATTATGTATCAAGTTTTATAAACGCCATTTTATACACGAATTTAATTTAGGCACGAGCGAGCTTTCGAGCGAGTGATTAAATTAATGAGTGTATAGAAAAGTTTATAAACGAGGTGCATACTATAATTTTTCTACGAAAAATACTTATTATCTTAAAATGATGTAAATATTTTTTATTGATAATTTACTGGTCAATTATAAATAAAAAGATAATTATGCCAAAAATAATAGCAACGAATTCGAATGTAAAAGCCCTTTTGAGGGCAAAACTTCATTTTGATGAAATTATGCCAAATGCCACAATGGAAGAAAAAGTACATCGCCTTATGGACATTTTTGAAGTAAAAAAGTAACAAATTTGGTTTTATAAGTATTACATCACACATTATTTTCACATTATATAGGTACCATTGGACAACATTTACGTTTACAAAAAATTTTAATTTCTTTTATATAAATTCTTTTCAAAGCGAAGATTATTATCCGCTAGGAATACTTTCTCTTCTGGGCCGTAAAGCAACCTATATTTAACTACTTTTTTTATATAATTTTACTCATCCAAGCACCACCAAAGCCAAATTAATTGCAATTTTAACTACGAATTCCGACAACTCAACTTGACAACTGCACAATGTAACCTACAATAATTTATACATGACCACAATTAGATTTATAACTAGCTTAGTTTGTTTTAATCAATGGGACCAACTTGACAACTGTATTTACCAACCCAAACCCTAAATTTGCAACGTTGCCGCAGTCCAGATAAAAAAAATGAACTTTAGGGAGTGTCTACGTATACTTTTTGTTGCTACGCTTATGATATATTTGCCCGCCGCGGCGATTTTTTAATCTTATTAATAAAAGTAACTTATTATTTTTATTAAACAACATTTTATGAAAGGGTCCAATCGACCTTCGCGACGGTGCTTTTTTAATATTATTTAGTTGCTGCTGAGTAGCAGTAGACACATCTTAAAATGTATAATGGGTTGCATACAATACTCGTATTAAATCGGCAGTAAAGTTCTACTTTACTGCCGATTGTTGACTACTTTACTGCCGATTTCGGATAAAAAGTATATACACCACGGCGGAGAAAGCATATAAACTGAGCTCGGCTTTAAATAAGCGCTTTTTTCGGCTGTTAGATAACGTACTATTTTGAGAAAAAATCGATATTTATTTTATGACAAAACTTTTTTAAAGATGTAACAAAATAAAGTAAGTAGGCATAAAAAGGTAATTTAAAATTATTTTTGTTTTTTAAATTTGGTTAATATTTGTAATGATTACTAACCCACTGGAAGCTCTTAAAAATTGTTATTTAACAGAACTAAAAAAACTTTTTAATAGTGTAACTTTTGAAAAATACGTCAAATAATGTTTATAAATATTTATTACAATTTCTCGTTATAAATACCAAATTAAACCATTGTTTTTAAAACACAATTAATTCTTCGCTAGTATTTACTGGGTTTTAGAACACTAATCCAAATATCTAGACCCGGCGATCTTGGCGGCCACGCGACATGTTTGTTGCGGCAATTATTAATTCCATTCCAGTTGCAAAAAATCATCTGGCCTTAAAGTTTGAGCGTTGAGCGTTATTTTGCAATTATTTATAATGTAGAAACAAAAATAAAAATAACTACCTTTTTCTTT